GCACAAGCGCCGGCGGCGGAAGCAGCGCATGCGGCAGACGGACCGTGTAGGTGGTGGCTGGTGCGGGGGGTCTGGGCTTCGTGCAGCCCCTGCTCACAGTCCCTCTCCTGGCGCCCCTCCCCAGGCCTCCTCCTTCAGCAGCATCACAGACTCCACTATGTCCCTGAATATCATCACCGTCACGCTCAACATGGGTGAGACCTCAGTGGGGTGGGGGCCACTCAGCAGGGCAGGGGTCCCTGGGCGTGGGGGTCCCTGTGTGCTGGGGTCTCTGGGCGCGGGGGGGTCCCTGTGTGCTGGGGTCCCTGGGAGGGGGTCCCTGGATGGGGTGCCTGCTCATCTCCTGCCCCCTGTAGAGAGGCACCACTTCTTGGGCATCAGCATTGTGGGCCAGAGCAACGACCGGGGCGACGGCGGCATCTACATCGGCTCCATCATGAAGGGCGGGGCTGTGGCCGCCGATGGCCGCATCGAGCCTGGTGACATGCTGCTGCAGGTGCGAGGTTGCAGGGAGCTGCTGGGGGGCCCAGAGGTCAGCACCCCCACCCCACCGTGCTGAACCCCTCATCCCCCAGGTGAATGACGTCAACTTTGAGAACATGAGCAATGACGACGCCGTGCGGATGCTGCGGGAGATCGTGTCCCAGACAGGGTGAGGCACGGGGGATGCGGGTTGGTGGGGGAGCACGTGAGGCCTCACCTGTGTGACCTGCCGCGCCCCACCCCGCAGGCCCATCAGCCTCACGGTGGCTAAGTGCTGGGACCCGACCCCCCGGAGCTACTTCACCATCCCAAGGGGTGAGTGAGCCCACGGGGCTGGTGGGGCTGGGGTCGGGGCGCCAGCCCAGCCTGAAGGGTCTCTCTCCTCTGTGCCCCTGTGCTCTGCTTCTCCCTCACCGTCCATGCGTCTGTCCATTCGTCTGTCTGTCTGCTGCCACGCGGTGGCCACCCAGCTGACCCAGTTCGGCCCATCGACCCAGCCGCCTGGCTGTCCCACACAGCGGCGCTGACTGGAGCCCTGCCCCGCTACGGTACGAGCCCCTGCTCCAGCGCCGTCTCGCGCACCAGCTCCTCCTCACTAACCAGCTCTGTGCCCGGCGCTGCACGTAAGTGGCAGCTCATGAGATCAGGGAATTGAGGCACTGGGGCCACAGGCCTGGCCGAGGTGCCCGCCAGTGCGGTCCCACCCGCTGGCCGCCCCAGCCTCCAGTGCTGTGCCAGGTCCACCTGCACGGATGCGGTGCTGACACGCGTGTCTGACCCGGCACCGCCACACGTGTGCACCCTCACGCACACCCTCCCAGTTTGCTGTCTATGTGGCGGGAGTTAAAAGTGCCTGGAGGGGCCAGGCCAGCCCCCAGGGCCCTGCCTGGCCATCCACTGTCTGCTGTGGCAGGGCTGGGGAGAGGCGGGTGCACACGTGGCCCCACCCTGCTTTCCTGCCGCTAACACGACTAACAGCCCTGAGCTGGCAGAGGAGGGCAGTGCAAGAGGCCCGGTCCCCTGTGGGGTCTGGTCTGCATGGGGGTTGTCTCGCCTTGGTTTGGGCCCAAGATCCTGATGAAGCATCTGCAGGAGTAGCAGACGAAGGTCCAGTCCCCGCCACGCCCACCCCCAGACCCTGTGGGGTCCATCGAGTGGTGGGGTTGGACCCCACAGTCACTGGGCTTCAGGGCCTGGGCTCCCCGGCCGCATGCTGCCCAGAGCCGGGGGTGCAGCAGGCGGGGCCTAGGGTCCCTCCCGAGCCCGCCCCCTGCCCGTCAGCACTTGGGGCTGAGGAGGGGGCCGTGCCTTGCAGAGCTGGAAGAGGCGCCACTGACCGTGAAGAGTGACATGGGCGCCATCGTTCGGGTCATGCAGCTGCCAGACTCAGGCCTGGAGATCCGCGACCGTATGTGGCTCAAGATCACCATCGCCAACGCCGTCATCGGTGAGTGGTCTGCTCCCTGGCAGTGGGGGCAGGGCAGGGTGGGGCACCCCTGCCATGTGCTGATTCTTCGTGCGGGCAGGGGCGGATGTGGTGGACTGGCTGTACACACACGTGGAGGGCTTCAAGGAGCGGCGGGAGGCGCGGAAGTACGCCAGCAGCATGCTGAAGCGTGGTTTCCTGCGGCACACCGTGAACAAGATCACCTTCTCCGAGCAGTGCTACTACGTCTTCGGGGACCTGTGCAGCAGTGAGTTGGGGGCTGCGGGGCAGGGATGCCCGGAGGGCCTGCCCAGCCCACTCTCACCCACCCTCCCCTCCTGCCAGATCTCGCGGCCCTGAACCTCAACAGTGGCTCCAGTGGGGCCTCAGAGCAGGACACGCTGGCCCCGCTGCCCCACCCGGCCGCTCCCTGGCCCCTGGGTCAGGGTTACCCCTACCAGTACCCAGGGCCCCCGCCCTGCTTCCCGCCCGCATACCAGGACCCCAGCTTCAGCTACGGCAGCGGCAGTGCTGGGAGTCAGCAGAGTGAAGGTGAGAGCCTGCCCGGCGCCCAGCTCCCTGCGTCCCCACCACCTGGCCCTGCCCAGCGTGCCCGCCCCCCGCCCTGTGTGCTCCTGCCTGCTCTGTGCTTGGCCCGGGTGGGCTTCTTCTGGAAGGGGTGAGTGTTGAGGGGGATGTGGAGAAGGAACCCAGAGGCTTCAGTGGTTGGGGGGGTGGGCCGATGTTCCATCTGTGGCTGAGGCAAGAGGCCAGGAGATGGTGAGGGAGAGGACACAGTAGAGGACAGACGCCTCCCTCCAGTGACGGCAGCCCCGCAGGGAGCCAGAGGTGGACACTTTCACAGACAACTATGTCTCCATGCTGGGATGTGTGGGGAGCTGAGAGGGAAGGTCGAGGGGCGTCCCTGAGGAGGGGACTTGTTGGGACAGTAGCCTCAGTCTGCCTGGGGGTCTGTGAGGCCAGTGGGTGCATGCCCATAGGGTCTGGGGAGAGGTCAGGCGGCCGGCCCAGCAACCCAGAAGGGATGGAAGAGACAGGAGAGTGGGTTGGAGGGCAGCAGTTCCCGAGGGGAGGCTGTGTTGGCCGCCTGTGACCCTGGGCAGGCCCCACTGGTGGCGGCGTGCCCTGGTAGGTAGGTGTGGTGCCCAGGTCGGACCTGGTGTGTAACTCGTGCTATCCCTTGCTTTGTGCTGAGCAAGCCTTAGACTGAAGGACTAGCAGAATGGACCCTTGGGGCCGGTAAGCCAGGGTCTTGCCCAGTGTCCCTCATGGCATGTCCCCAGCCAGCTAGCCTTCACAGCACTTCCTGGGAACCCAGGACAGGGGCTGAGCTGAGTAGCTGGCCAGGGCCCCGGGGTCGGATGGAAGGTGGGTCTTTGGGTGGGGAGCCCAGGATGGCTGACCGGAGTGCCAAGCACACAGGCCCTTCTTTGTGCCTTGGTTTCTCAGCTGCAAGACCAGGCCCTCAGTTCAGGCATTGGGGTGAGGCGTGGGGGCATCGAGTTGGCCCTGGAGCATCCCCACCTGCCTGCCACTGTCCCTGCCTTGCCTGCTGCAGCTACTCTTAGTTCTCTGGGTGGGGCAGGCTCTACCCTTGTGTCTGCATGGCTGTCCCCCTCCCACCCCCACCCCAGCTCAGGGCCACCAGGTTCTGGCCCTGGTTGCTCTGGCGATGGCCAGTTGTCCTGGAAGAGGCAGGGCCTGACTGACTGTCCTCTCCCCACTTCTCAACCCCAGGAAGCAAAAGCAGTGGGTCCACCCGGAGCGCCGGCGGGAGCAGCCGGCGGGCACTGGGCCGAGAAAAGGAGCACCGGGCGGCTGGAGCTGGGGGCAGCGGCAGCGAGTCGGATCACACAGCACCAAGTGGGGTGGGTGGCAGTGGCTGGCGGGAGCGTCCGGCTAGCCAGCTCAGCTGTGGCAGCAGCCCACGCAGCCAGGCCTCGGCCGCTGCCCCGGGGCTCCCCCCACTGCACCCCCTGACGAAGGCCTACTCGGTAGTGGGTGGGCCGCCTGGGGGGCCGCCTGTTCGGGAGCTGGCTGCTGTCCCCCCAGAGCTGACAGGCAGCCGCCAGTCTTTCCAGAAGGCCATGGGGAACCCCTGTGAGTTCTTCGTTGACATCATGTGACCGAGGAGAGAGTGCCTTCAGCCCGGCCCTGCAGGAGGGCGCTGCACCTGGAGCTTGTGTGGGCTTGCCTTAGTGGGGGCCGTCCTGCGTCACGCCAGCCTGTGCTTCCACGCGCACAAGGGGCTGTGCTGTGGGGTTTGGGCCTGGACAGAGGGTGGGAGCAGGCTGGAGGGGAAGGGTTGATGGCAGCCCGAACCACCATGATCTGGCCCCGGCAGCCTGTCCACTTCCGGAAAGAGCAGCTTGTGTCCATGCAGACCCTGGTGGGGACCCATTGCCTTGTGCTCAGGCGGGTCTGACCTGCTCCCCTTGATGTGCGGCTTAGGGACCCCTATTTGCCCACAGAGCTGCGCACAGGGCCCCAGACCGAGCTAAGAGGTGGCTGCTGGGCCTGGACCCCCTCCTTACCCAGTTTGTGGGCCCTGCCCATCTTGCCCAGGCTCGGGGACACTCTTGGGGGCAGAATCAACCCCCAGGCCCCTGTGTGGCTGCCCAGAGTAGGATCTAATTTATTTATTTATTGCCTGCCTGTGTGCTCTGGAGGAGGTGGCAGCCAAGTCAGCCGTCTCCCTGAACCTGGCTGGAGCAGAGTTTGCATGTCCCCCCACGCCAGGTCTCAGAGCAAATGCTGGGACACAGGTCATGTCTGAAAGTGTATGGGAGGGTCGGCAAAGGGGAGAGATGGGAGAGGGGTGTGTTTCAGCCGGTGGGAGGGGGACGTGACCCTGAGGGGTGAGGGGCAGGGATGGACACAGCTGCTGCAGGGGCAGGGTCTGGGGGTGAGGGGGCAGCCAGCCCGCCCTTCCTCGCTGTCCTCAGGTGACTGCCCACCCACGCACACTGCTTCCTTCCCGGCATCTCTGGCCTGCACACATCTGCGCTGTAGATCCTGTATCGAGTCAGAAGGTCTGTTCAGATAGTTAATAGAGCTGCTTCTGTGTAAATGCTATTTTAAACACTAAAAAGCATTTAATTTTATGGGACCGACGTGTGGCCTGTGTCCTCTCTCTCCCACCAGGCTGCCTCAGGAGACTGGGCACACGGGTGGTGCAGCCTCCCCAGGGCCTGGCTAAGCGCTGATTCAGCACTGGGCCCAGTGCTGTCCTCGCTGTCCCAGCTTAGCCACAAGGCCCTGTCCCCGGTGCTGGCTCCCCCAAAGTCCTGGCGGGCTGTCTTCTGTCCGTGGTGCTGGCTCCTGGCTCCTTGGCTCCAGGGGTCCTGGTGGCTGGTGCTGGCCTTGGTGCTGACCCCCACCACTACCCTTCCTGGGCTCTGTCCACGGTGCTGGTGGCGGGCTGAGCCCATTCTACCTACTCAGCCAGGCCAGGAAGAAAAGGAAACTGGGAGCTCCCCTCCCCGCTGAGCAGACCTCTGTCCTGCAGTGGAGTGCACGGTCAGGCATGCACCCCTGCAGAGGGGTCCGGGCAGCCCCAGCCCACCCACCAAGCTCCCATTTCTGTGATGCTTGGAGTGGGTGCTGGGTGGGGGCCCCAGGCTGGCCCCAGGCTGGCCCCAGCCAGACAAGTCATGCCCAGCTTGGCCTTCAAGTGGTCTGGTGGGGCTTTCTGAGCTTTCAGCATGGGCTGCAGGGGCTTGAGGAGTCCTCCATGGGCCTGTTTCTGAAATAGTGGGGCTGGGTCACTTGGCTAGGGCTTGGCCTGGATGGGGACAGAGCCTGACTCTGAGGTCCCAGGAGATGGGATCCCACGGGGCTGAGGCCCTGGTGCAGTGTCAGCAGCCAGCCTGAGGTCAGAATCTAGAGCTGGGAGTCTCAGCAGAGGCGGGCCACAGTTTGCAGATTGCTGTATGGGGACTTGGTTTGGGGGCATCTTAGCTAGGTCTGGGTTCACTGGGATGAGGTCACCAGGTTAGGAGTCACTTATTTTTGCCCTGAGTCTCCTCCCCACCCGCACTGCCACCCCATCCTGTGGCATCACCCGGACCCTCTCCCAGGAAGAACTCGGGGGTGTTGAGCTCCGGCCGCCATAGCAGCAGGTAGCACTTGGGCAGGTGGAATGTGGCCAGGATGCCCAGGGCACAGAGGAGGATGGTGCCCATCTGCACGGCGGGCTGGTAGGCCACGTGCATGTTGGCAAAGAGGGGCACAAAGGAGATCCACGTGAGGAAGTAGGCCAGCATAGCGAAGGTGAGGCCACGGGCACTGTTGTAGCGGCCGGGCTGGCTCTGCACCAGGAAGGTGCCCAGGAAGCAGAGGAAGGCCAGCACAGCGTTGGTGATATGCACCAGGCCAAAGCTGACCCAGGAGTGCACGCGGCAGTGCACCAGTGCCTCCGTGGGCAGCACCTGCCAGTCTGTCACCACCTCTGGTGGGAAGACCACCAGGTACCAGGTACATAGTGCTGCCTCAGCCAGCATGGGGAGGAGCACCACCAGCCAGGCCCAGGGCCCCCGAAGGCGGCCATGCAGCCAATCCGCCCAGCTCATCGGCAGCTCTGACTTCACAAAGATCTCGGCCGCCTGCAGGAAGAGTGTGCTCAGGCAGCCAGTGAGCGGGAGGTGGAGCAACAGCAGCTGGGCCAGGCAGCTGGTGGGGCTGGGCCGGCCGGGGAACAGGAGGACGCCGAGGCAGACGAGGCTCAGGCAGGCCAGGCCAAAGCAGGCCCGTGGCCCACCCGAGGCTCGAACTAGCGGGCTGTCCCTGTGCTGGACGAAGAGCCCCAGGGCCGTCAGGGCCAGGCTGAGAGCCAGGCCCAGCAGCACGAGCAGCGCCAGCACGGCTGGCTCCCCCCACGCCAGGAACTTGGGCCTGCGGGGGAAGCAGCGTGTGCTCCGATCAGGGGACCACTGGTCCTGGTCACATGGGGTGCAGAGGAGGTCATCTGTGGTGTGGGAGGAGAGAACAGACACTGAGAGGCATGGGCTCCCCTCTGGCCTCAGAGTTGGCTTAAGAAGTGGAACCGCCTCTGAGCCGTGTGCTCCTGACCCTGTGGGTCCCCTCTCCCACTCCTGCCCCAGCTTGTGCAGGCCCGCTGGGAGGGTGGCTCACCTGGGAGGGCTCACCTGGGAGGGCTCACCTGGCTTGTGCCGGTAGCTGCCCGCTTTGCAGTCCACACAGTCGTAGCAGCAGGAGTGGAAGCCCTTCACACGGCGCACCTGGCCCTCCTCGCACTCCCGCGAGCACTGGGATACGGGCTCCTGGCATGGGGGCCTCACGGCTTAGGCTCGGCTCTGCTGAGGGCACCTGCCTGAGACCTGGGGACAGCCTTCTGCTGCCCCCTAGGTGAGGCCAGAGCTCGCTCCTGGCTTTGGGGGAGCTGCTGTGCGGCTGGGGACACAGCCTGGTGCTCACCTTGTTTCCTGGCGTGTGCCAGCACATCCGGGAGTGCTGGAGCTGCAGGCGGCCACTGAAGGTGCCCACGGTGCGCAACTCGGGCACCGGGCCCCGCCACACCCACAGCTTCAGGTCATAGTCCATGTCTACGTTCCCCGTGGTGTCAAACCGCAGCACCTTGCCACGTGCTCGGAAGGTCATGTTGTACATGCTGTCCAGGAGCTGGCAGGCAGGTGGGAGCAGATGGGACAGGCTGGACCAGGAACTGCCTCCAGCCCAGAACCCCCCACTGCCATCCCTTCTCCTCAGGGGTGCCCAGTGGCCCAGGGCAGGTGCAGGGACCTGCACAGCTCCCATGCCCTCACCTGCCAGGGCTGCACAGGCTCCTTGGGCGTGGAGCAGCCCGAGGCATTGCAGAGCAGCGTTTTGTGGAGGGCCTGGGCCACGCCATATACAGCTGCATAGGCGGCAAAGGTCCGGTGGTGCAGCAGTGTGGTGGACACATTCTCCAGTGTGATGTGGTCACACTGGGGGCAGCGCGGCCCCACCACGTGCCCCTCCAGGGGTGGGTGCTTGGTGTTCAGTGAGGCGCAGAAGGCAGGGTCAGCGGCTAGGGCCAGGCGGGTCTGCACGTATGACGAGAAGTCAGGCATCAGGGCACCCTGGTGCAGGAAGCCGAGCACGGTGCCCACCTGGGCCATGCCGGGCAGCGTCATGACCAGTTCTGAGGTTAGCCAGGCCTCACTGGCCACCCACACCTTGGGCAAGAGCCCCCAGCGGATGCTGAGGCTGAAGAGGGTGCGGGCGGCAAGGGTGGAGGAGAACAGCACCACCACCTGCACACTGCTCTGGTTCACCTGGTGCAGCAGGCTGTGCACAGAGCCCAGCTTCCGGCTGTCAGTGCCGAGCAGGGGCACCAGGCCCTCATGTGCGATGCAGATGCCCCGCATGTTGGCCAAGCCAGAGAAGAGGCTTAGGCCCTGCCGGCCATACTCGTCGTCACTGCCCACAGCAGCCACCCAGTTCCAGTGGAACTCCTGCAGCAGCTCCACCATGGCCGCCGCCTGCACGCGGTCGCTGGGCACTGTGCGGAAGAAGGACGGGAACTCCTCCCGGTTGCTCAGCCGTTCTGCGCTGGCGCCATAGCTGATCTGCAGTGGCCAGGAGGCACCTCCTGACGAAGGGGCTCCCGTGGGAAGGGCGGTGGGGGTGGGGGACAGGAGAGGTGGGGGCGCACCTGAGGCATGAGGAAGAAGCTGAAGAACTTGCTGGTGACAAGGGCGAGCTCAGACGAGTGGGGCCCGATGACGGCCAGCACACGGGGCTGGTACTGTGTGTAGTCGCAGTAGGCGGCGATGTTGCTGCTGCCCGCCTTGGCCATGAACAGGAGGCTGGGCTTCATGGCAATTATGGGCTCTGAGCACGTGTCGAAGAAGTCGTAGCCCAGGCGCAGCCCAGGCAGCAGGCTGGACCCATTGTTGATCTCCTCCACGGCCATCTGCACCGCCAGCGCCCAGAGCAGGCCGAGGGACGAGAACCTGGGGCCACGCAGAGCTGCAGGTGGCCGACAACCTTGACCCCACTCGGGGACACCAGACCTGAGCCACCCCAAGCCTGGCCACCCCTGCCCCCAACCCCTGTCCTCCCTACCTGGTGCACACGGTGGCACTGGGCTGTGTCCTGTTGCTGAGACCAGCACCCTCAGCCAAGCCAACGGGGAAGAGCCCACCCAGCACGTAGTCCCCTGACATCCTGAACTGCTGGGTCAGGCACAATGGGGCACCTGCCCTGAGGCCCAGGAGAGCCAAGAGGCCCAGGAGAGCCCGGCCTGGCATGGCAGGTGGCAGCTTCTGGCAGGGATGGCAAGTGGGCAAATCGGGCAGGCCCCAGATATGGTGAGTTGGGGTGGGGTGGGGCAGGATTTGTTTAGCAAAAACCTCGCCTGTCTTCACCTGCCAGCCCGGGGCCCCTGGGGCCATCCTTGCTCTCCTGGGCCCCACAGGTTTGCACATGTCGGATGCTGTTATCCTGATTGACACCACCAGGCTCTGCGGCTGACAGTGACCTGAGAAGGCAGGCTCTGACCTGGCACTGACCATGACCTTGTTACCTGCCTGTACCCAAGCCCTCAGCACCCACCCCACACCTGGAGGGGAGGAGGAACACCCACAACGTCTCTGCCAGAGGGTCCTGGGGTCTCCAGCTGCCTGTGGGCGGGGCTTGGAGGTGACAGTGCCCCGGGGAGTAGGCACAGAAACACCTTCTCTCTCCAGCCCTGGGAAGGCACTGTCAGCAGCTGGGAACATTGCACAGGTGGCTCTATCTGCAAGCCCAGGGGGCAGTCTGAGGACAGCCCTGCAGACCAACCAGGAGGCCCGCAGACCGTTGGCCAGCCTGGCCTCCAGCCTGCGGCTGGGGTACGGGATGTGGCCTCTCGGCCTGCGTGGGAACAGTGCACCTTGAGGGACTGGACCATTCCTCCACTGGGGTCCGAGGCCTGGAAGCTTTGGAAGCCCTTGGGTTGGCTGCATACCAGGCCTGGGCACTCCATGGTGGCAGGTGCTCCCCCCGACCCAGGGGACAGGGCTCACAGCTGGGCCTGCAGGAGGGTGCATGCAAAAGAGAGGAAAGGCCGTAAACAAATAGGCTGCCACAGCTGGGTCAGCACCAAGTGTGCAGGGGCCCTGGTGGGTGGGATGGTAGATCCTACTTAGCCTCTGGGTGCCCAGGGACCAGCCTTCCCTGGCCTGGCCTGGGGGCCTTTGACACTAGGCTTGGAGGTAGAGGAGCTATACCCAGAGGAGCCGGGGAGACCAGCAATGTTTCAGGGGTGGGGCAGAGCAGGGGCTCTGGGCTTACAGAAAAGGTGGTCTAGGGACCTGATCTTTGCCTGACCCTGCTGCCCTGTGGGGAGGGCCCACGTTGCACAGCACTCAGGACATGCACACGCATGTGCACAACACATGTGCACTGCACCTGCACGTCTTCAGGCACACACACACACATAAGTGCAGCCCTTGCTCTCTGGCCCGGGTGGACTCCAGGGTATCTTCCCAGGCCAGTCGCTGATTGTCACGGCCTCTGCTAGTGCTGCACGGGGCTGTGGCACCTGCTGGGTGTGGGGCAGGCTGGGCGGCGTGCAGCAGCAGCCTGTGGTGGCCCAGCATCGGATGCTGCTATTTGGGTCCGACATTAGGTGGAGTGCCTGAGAGGACACTGCCTGGCATGTGTCCTCTTCCTATCTGGGCCCATCATGGCACAGAGCAGTCCCTGCTCCACTGGCTGCAGCCCAGGCAGGTCTGTCTTCTCCCTATAGTGTGTGGCTGGCCTCAGACCTGCGCTTTCAACCCAGCCCCGTGGGTGGAGCCATGCCTGTTTTCTCACTGTAAAGAGGAGTCATAGTGTGGACCTCGGCAGGGGTTGGGAGGACCAAGCTAAAGCCTGCACAGGGCAGGCAGGCAGCACCCCCTACCCACACTGGCTGGGTCATGCCTCACATCCCCATGGTTGGCACTGCCCTGCGAGTCTCAGTAGGCAGGTGCCTAAGACACCCAGTCCCTGTCCTGGAGCACAGACCCTGGCTCTGTAAAGTGTGATTTATTTATGCTGGAAAAGCTACCACCAGTGGTACACGTCCTGAGGTCCCCACGAGCTCACAATCATGCACAACTTCTGTACAGTGGGCACCGTCCCCATGGCACCCAAGGTCCTGGGCTCACAGTGAAGAGTGAGTGGGAGAGGCCAGGCCCTCGAGCACTGGGTGATGGCCGGGCTGGGTGTGGCTGTCTGCCAGCCTGTCAGCTAGGCAGAGGGGTCCAGGCCCTCTCCCGGTGCCATGCCATCCTGGGTCTCCTGAGCTCTGTGGGGAGGGGCAGCAAAGGGCAAGAAGAGGGAACACAGCACTTAGCTGGACACTGGGACGGGGAGAGTTCGGCATTGGCCCAGAGGAGACATGGGCTCCTGGTGGCTTCAGGTCTGTGCTGTGCAGACTCACAAGCAGCTGCCTGGGGAGCTCTGGCCATGGCGTGGCTGCAGGAGGCAGCTGATGTGTGTGGCGCTATAGAGGCAGAGAGGCCTTCGCTTGGGGCTTCAGCTCCCGGGTCTCACTGCTAAGGACATGTGGGCCCCTGGCTACGGCCAGGCAAGGGGCAGGGAGGGAGCCCACAATGCCATCTGATGCCCAGGGATTCTCTCCCTGCCCTAGGGACAGCCAGCCCAGTGTGGAGGGGCCTGGAGCAGCCTGCCTAGGCCCAGACACTGCATCCGGGCCTGGGAGGGACACGTACCAGCATTGTTGGCTGGCAACCAGGACAGAGTCTATGTATTCCAGTGACCTCATCCCACTTCACAGACTTGACTCACAGGTAGGGGCAGTTTCTCGGGCCTCTGCACGCACGCTGATCCTGCCTCCGCCCTCCCTGCCCTTCGCACTTCACCACTGGGTGAGGCCTGTCTGGACACACATGTCACCTGGCTGAGGGTAAAGCTGAGATGCTCTTGGGCAGAGTGAGAGGACAGGCATGGGACAGACGGCCAGCGCCTGCCTCCTCTGACCCAAGGGGCCACGCTGGGCCTGTGCCTCCCCACAAGCTCAGTTCACAAGGAAAGAGTGGTTTTCCCATTCCTGGGGAACCCAGAGAGCTCCATGGTGGGACTGAGGGGCCCTGGCTGCCCCAGCCCAGCTCTGGAGAAGGGGAAGCCCGCCCTGCCCGGGCCCGCTAGCCCCTAGGGCAGGTCCAGCAGAGCGTGCTCGGCGTAGAGCTTCTGGGAGATGTTGTAGACGTGCTCAATGAAGGGCAGGGCCTCCCCCAGCATCTCCACAGCCTGCTCGGGGGACCCCACGTTCATGGCTTCCAGGAAGACCTTGCGTGTGGGCAGCGTGCAGAAGGCCACAGTGACAGCCCGGCGGATGATCCAGGGGTGGTAAGCAGCCAGCGAGGCATTGTAGGAGTCGGTGCAGAGCGTGGCAGTGCGCGCGTCCTCAGGGCTGGTGCGCAGACTTTCCAGGAAAAGCTGTAGCCAGCGCAGAGCGCGGTGCAGCCGGAGCATTGTCCGGCAGCCTGAGTCGGGGTGGCGCGAGCGCCGGTCCAGGTCCACCAGCTGGTTGCCCATCTCGTAGGCTACCATAGACTGCAGGCTTCTGTAGTGCTCCCGCTGTGGGCTGCTGCACAGGCGCTCCATGATCTGTAGCTTCATCACAACATCCTTGGAGACAAACGAGAAGATGCTGCCCAGACTGTTCAGGAACCTACGAGAAGGGAAGCAGGAACTCAACCTGGGGTGTAAGGAAGACCGCCCCTCCCTCCTGGGGCACATGTCCACTTGGGGGCAGAGGCAGGAAGGCTTGGTGCTGCCTGCCAGTCGGCAACTGAGAACAGCTGACTGACAGTGGGCAGACACATGCCTCGTGCATGCACGTGCAGGTCCTACACATGGGAAGTATGGCCGGGAAAGCCCCACCTTTGGGCTAGCCCCAAAGGGCAGTGGCCCTTTGCACGCACCTGACCAGCCCCCTCCAGCCTTCGAGGTAGCAGTCCAGCAGCACCTCTTCCTTCTCGTTGAGACATTGCTTGAAACCGACTAGGACGACTTTCAGATTGAAGTCTGACTCTGAGTCATCCATTTTTCTATACGAACTGAAACACAAAGGAAGCCAAGCTGGTGGGCTTTCTCACTGTGAGTCTGCTCACTCCTTAGATTGTTATTTCGAGGGCATGGGCAGGAGCCATTGCAAGGAAACAGCTCACAGTGAGTTGCATCCCCAGGTGGGCTCCCTCCTCCCCAGGAGCTCCCCTTGCTCTGCTTGGGTTACACAGTCTGACACATCAACCTGACCCCGCATACCCTTTGCCCAGAACACCCACAGATCTTAGCAAGGCCTATCCTTGTCATTCATGCTTTGCGAAACCACTCTGCTGTATCTTGCTTGCAACATCTCCACTTATGCTGTTGTCTGTCTCTCTTACTAGAGTGTGTCTGTTTTCACTGCTTGGAAAATATTTGCTGGGTCCCTGCCCAGAGCCAGGCACTCAGGTGCACCGTGAGTGAAACAAACAGCCCTGCCTTGTCAGGGTGACATTCTACCATGGGGTGGGGGGTGGGGTGTCAGACAATAACAAAGACAGGAAATTCCGGCACGGTAGGTAAAAGAAGGTAAATACTATGGACAAAAAAGACCGTGACTGAGAAGAGAGGGAGGGTAGTGGGGTCATCTGCACCCTTCCCCAGTCACTGCCGCATCCCAAAAGCCAGAGCAGAGGCTGCAGGGTCAGCATTTGCTGGACAGATGGATAGACACCAATCTTTTCACTCCTACTGAAACCGTACACGTCCCACACAGAAGGGTGGTCAGGCCAAAGGTCTTTCCACACTCTGAAGTCATCCACTGGTCCTCCCTCAGCTGCAGAGAACCTTCTGGAAGTGCTCCAGGCCAGAGTCCTACTCTGGATTCTACTCGCATTCATACAGTCACTCTACAAACATCCAAGCACCTACATGTTGAGTGGGTGCTGCGGGGCACTCCAGCCCCTGCCTCCCTGAGCACCCGGGACCGGCATCACAGTGCAGCTCTGATGGGCCCAGGGGACTCAGCATCCAGGATGAGCTCTTACCCTGCTGGGCCTGGGGGTGACTGTGCCTTCCATGCTTGGAGCCCTGTGGGGCACCTGGCAAGTGGGGGAGGCTGCCCAAGCTGTGGCAGGAGCCCCAGCCAGGAGCAGGACACCTGGTCCTATGCAGCTTCTGCCATCCACTCCATGGGCAAGTCACTCACCGTCCTAAGGCTCGGTCCTTCATCTCTGGGGAAAATGGACCAGCACACCCTGCCCTGCCCACTGCCCAGCCTGCCAGGAGTGTCTGATGAGGCCTGGCGGCTGCTGAGGCCCTGTGGATCCCACAGATTGGGCTGCATCCTGGCATCAGGCAGAGCCCCCAGAGGGAGCTCATCCTGTCTTCAGGTGAGTGGGACAGCTGCACCCGGCCTCAGGAGGATGGCGCTCTGGAGACTTCTGGCACATGCCTCAGTTCTCTGCCCACTGAGAAGATAGTCTCTGAAGCCCTCAGGGCTACCTTCCTGGCCACTAAGCAACCTGTAGGCCTGGACTTCCTGCCCAGAACCTGAGCCAGCAGCCAACAGGAGGTGCCAGGAGCCTTTCAGAGCTTGGAAACAACAGGAAGGGCAGTGGCTGTGTGGCTGGGGGCGGGCAACTGGCCAGTTCTGGGAAGGTGATGCAGGGCACCGCCAAGGCTCTCCCAGGGGCAGCCCACGGTCCCAAGGTCAGGGCTCGGCGGGAGAGTGGCCTGAGCATCCCAACCCTGTGGGTGACAGCGGCCTGGAGGCCTCGAAAAGAAAGGGGTTCCCAGCCCGGCACCCCAGGATCAGAGGGTGGGAGCGGGGCCCTGTCCGGGAAGTCTTTCAACTCTTCTAGGAAGGGGGTTCCGGGTGGCACCGGGCTGGGGTCCAGGACTCAGGGAGGGTGGGGCCCTGGTCCTGGGCGGGTCCTGCTCCAGGTGCAGGCCCCGGGACGGGGCAGAGGCCCGCGGGCCGGGCCAGCGTGGGAGCCAGGTCTTCGGCCGCTCCACCCTCCCGCCCTGGGGTCCCACGCCCGGCCCCTCGGATATGCCCAAGCCCCCCCCCGGCAGATTCGGTTGCGCTCGGTTCCCCCGCCGCCAGCCCGAGTTTACCTGCCCTGCCGCCGCCGCCGCAGCCGCCGTTGTTGGACCCGCCGCCCTGCCCCCAGCCACCGCCCCGCCGCCCGGGATTGGTTGTCGGCCGTCCAATCAGAAGGCCCGGAGCGTGGGCGCGCGTTTCCGGCGGGCGCACCGGAAGCCGGCGCGCCGGGCTGCGCCTGCGCAGTGCGCGCCGCGGGCCTGGTTCCAGCGGAGCTTCGGTCCTGGGCCGTCGTGGGGCAGGCGTGGTCCGTCGGCTCTGGGAGCGCAGCGGCGACGGGCTGGGGCGCGGCCTGCAGGATGCCTGAAATCAGGGTCACCCCGCTGGGTGAGTGGGGCGCGGGGAGGGGCCGGGGGAGCGCGCCGGCTGGGTCAGTGTCGGGGCCGTGGAGGGAGGGCGAGGTCGCCCGAGCAGCCCTGCCCGGCCGTCCCTGGACGGCGGGCGTCTTGTGGAGGCGCGGGGTCTCCGTCCTCGCCGCGCCCGCGCCCGCCTCGCTTCGCGCGGGCTGATGCTTCAGGCCCCTGGCGCCTCTGCCCCTCGCCGCTCATTCTGCTGCCACCTCCTGCGTCCGTCTCCGCCCGGTCACCTGCAGCCTCCGTGTGCCCGTCTGGAGATCCGCCCTCAGTTCAGCCCTTGTTTTACTTGACGTCTGCAACGTTAAAAAAAAAATAGCTCTGCTTTTTGTAAAAGGTGTAAACGCACGCTTTTAAAAGGCCGAGCAGCAGAAAACAGCGCAGAGGAGGAAAGATCACTCCGAATCCAGGCGTTAGTTACCATTTCGGTGGCCAGCCGTCCCGACGTCTCT